AGAGAATGTCGTACAAGTGTTGAAATGAACGTTGATGATTTAACTTCTGCAAGTGAAGAGGAAATCAAAAATTATGCTAGTGACGGCCATGATGAACCAAGTGATGGTGATGACTTTTTTGAATAAAGAACTGCACCCACTAAGGACAATGAATTTTAGACTTCAACTAGATCTCAAATTTGCTTCATTTGTGACCTTTCAAGTATATTATGCAATTTAAAGTTATGTTTTCTTGTTTGTCCTGCTATATGTTTTTATTTATTAAAGTGTTTGAAAATCAGTTTTCTTTTGCATTTCATTGTTGTAGCTGGTTAACTTTTAAGTATTTTATTAAATTTTGTTTCTTGCTCAATAAATACACTTTTTTTCAAACAAAATATTAACAATACCCGAAGGTTTTTTACATTCCCCTTAAAGTCTAGTTTATTTCGCAAGATTACTATGTATATACAATGTACATTTACATTAATTGATGGCTTAATCAACAAGAAAAAAAATGATAATTTTACAACAATAAAGTGTTTTCAAACTCTCAGCAATAAAAAATTTGGTACATTAAATATAACAATTTCACAATGTTAAATATGAATGAGGTAGTATAGCTACTTATTTGGGACATATGCATAAATCGTTGCTATCACCAACACAAATTTGCATCATTTATTGAAAAGTGTCATTAATGTACAACAATTTTTAAAAATGCAGTAAGAAATGTGCAGCAATTTTACGACAGAATGGTTAAATGCCGCATATTTGACTCTAATTTGTAGCACAGTCAAAGAGTGACACAACAGTGTCGTAAATTTACTACAAACAGTTTACTTGTGTCATTGATTAACAACACTTTATTCAAGTGTCGCAATGATATGCCTTGTTTTCCTGACAATAATAATCAATGCCACATAATTGACGCCAAATTAGGACACATGTCTATGTGACATAGTTATGCCGCAAATATGTGGCACACAGACTTAAATGTTGTTGATTTACCGCATTTAGTTGCGGCATAAATGTGGATGTGTGGCCAAAGGCCATATTTCTTGTAGTGATTGAAACCTTATAGTGAGTTAAACATATTTTGTTAGCCATATTAAAACTATAAATTAAATCACCATGTTTCTTTCTTCGAAAATTAATTTGATGGTTCAGAGTTGTAATTGTTTTTTTTTTTTGGAAAAAGTCTGCATGATTTTTTTAAAAGCATAAATTCTTTGATAATGTTTAGCGATGGAAATTGAAAGTTTGGAATTTCATTTTTAGTACAAAATGAACTAAAAGTAAAAGTCGAAACTGGAAAATAATTTTTGAACAGAACCATAGAGAGAGTATCAAATTTTCAAAAATTTTAATATAATAGTGTATGTGCATATATGTAATATTTATTATCATAAATGTCTCAATTTTTCAGAGATTTTAAATATAATAATTTGAAACGATATCATAGTGAACATAACGCCCCGTACAATGCACGGGTTAAAAAACAAGTATTGATTACTAAATGTAACGATTAATTAAAAATTTGAGCAATTTTAGATGAAAAGAAAAATTAAAAATTTTGAATCAAATCTAGTCTTAAACAAAAGTGCCAAAAAACTCTAAAATTGCGCTATATCACATACATAAGTTAATGTTAAATATCTCGAAAATCTAAGCCAAATTAATAGATCAAAGGGGATCAACCCGTTGAAAGAAACCAAGTTCAAATCATTGCCAGATTCCTTTTCATGGTCCAAAACTAAATATTAACAACTAATCGTAGAGGTAATGAAACATTGTTTGATTTAAATGGAATCAAAATTTAAAAAAATTACAGATCAAAACCCAGTTAAAAAAAAAGAAGAAACACAACAAAATGAAGCTACCAAAAACGCTAAAATTGTTTTATATCACAAAAAAATCCAAGGGGATCAACCTGTCAAAACAAATTAAGGGCAAATCATGGCCAGATTCACTTTTGGTCTCCAAACCCAAATATTCACAACTAAGCGTAGAGATGAGATGTAATTATGTACTCATTGAAAAGTTTTTTGAAAGAAGTCAAAATCCAAAAATACTTAGTCAAACCCAGCTAAAAGTAAATCAAAATTGCCTTAAAATAAATAACTGTATACCTCGTCAAAACAAATTAAGGCTAAATCATTGATAAATTTATTTTTAGATTTTGAACTCAAATATTATTAACTAACAGTAGAGATAATATGCAATTATGCATTAATTGAAACTTTATTTGATTTAAATAAAATCGAAATCTAAAAGTTCTATATCACCTGAAAACAAAATAAAGTTGCAAAAAACTCCTAAAATTGCTCTATCTCATACATAACTTAATGTTAAATATTCCAAAAATCTCGGCCAAATCAATAGTTCCAAGTGGATCAACTTGTCAAGATAAATTAAGGCCAAATCATAGTCATATTCATTTTCAATTTCAAAACCCAAATATTTCCGTGAAGAGATACTTAGGATCGTTCTGAAAATATGATTTAATATGTTATTAACAAAGTAGACACATAAAGTTCAAGAAACAAAGAAAATAACTAAAAAAAGAGCAAATTGATAGAGACACCAGAGATGATTCAATCTAATATTCAGTTTTCCTTGGCATCACAGTTTTGTTCTTAGGAGAATATTATAGAGTGGGCATAATCATCATTTACAATTAGGTTACCAACTGAGATTCATAGATAAATCCAGTTTGAATCATCTTATTTAGAATAATGCCTTGCATCTCTTGGAAATGAAATAACCTAAATAAATTATTTTAGAATGTTGATTACATATTCGAGCCTCAGCTACAATTAGAAAAAAAAACCATAAAAGAAATTACTATTAGTCATAATAAAAATGGACATGATAGGCTCCATATTAGATATGATTCACTAAACTTGAACATATTATTATTAATTTATCCTTAATTTAGAAGCTAGACACAAATGAAATATATCCACAAAAAAATTCTGTTAATAGATAAATTTTGTGCTTGCAAGGACAAATTATGAATAATCTTGTTATAAAAATTTAAATCGTAAGAACGGAAAAAGCGTACAAACTGAACCACTCTTAATCCCTTTATTATAAAAAAATAATAAAATAAAATAAATAAAATAATAAAACAAAAAAAAATTTTAAAAATATAAAAAAGGAGAAGAAATTGAACCTTGAGTTTGGACTATGGCGCACACATGAGAGTCTCTTCACCAAGATCGAGTACAAACAACCGGCGGCATTGTGTTGTAAGAGATCGGTGGAAAAAAACACATGATTATATATTATAAAATCATGCACTATATTAAATATGCATGGGGTTTTGATCTTTTAATTTGCTACACAATCAGCTTTACAGATACTACTACTATATTACACGTCCCTTGCCACATTGTGAACCCGACCCTTTGTAATCCACGAAAACAAAGGAAATCTAGTGAGCATTGCTCGCATGATGATGAAAAAACAAAATGCTTTTGGGACCCAAAGTTACTTTTAGTGTTATGATTAAGAACGAATAAATTAGAATAGACCAGAATTTCTTCAAAATAGTACCTTTAGGTTGACACTCATCGATGCATTAGGGTTTTCAACGAGCAATTCGCAAACTGGTGTTTTTTCTATTTTGTGTCCGAAATTACTTTTCTAATTAATTGAATTCAAGCAATTACGTTCTTAAGTCCAAATTTTGGTGACTTAAACCCCTTTGAATAATTAAACTCGGCCGAGTTAGTTCATTTTCGAAAGAGATTAGTCGAACAACTCTTTTTTTTAAAAAGTAAAAAAGAAAAAATCCAACAACTACGTGTGTAAGTTTCATTAGATCTTTTACATTCGAATTGTATTTTAGTAATTATTGTTTGTGTTGTTGACAAATTCAAGTTCTAATCACTTATATCTTTTTGGAGAAATAATTTTGAATTAGTTAAATATTTTTTTATGAGAAGTTCTCTCGGGCTTTTTCCCAAAAAAAATTAAAAAAAATAAACGTGGACAAATTTAAATTTTTCAGAATATTTGTGGACAGAAATATATTGCTCGGATTTCTGAAATCCGAGTTTTGATTAATATTAGAGATTCGGATTTCACAAATCCGGCTTTATACTTAATAATAAAATAATAATTTCATAAATTTTGATGAATAATAGTTTTTTTGGTTCTTAAATGAATAGTTACGCTCAGATTTATAAAATCCGAGGTTATTTAAAAAATAATAAATCGCAGCGCGAAATTTTTGAATCCAAAAAACCGGAAGTCCGTAATCCGGTTTGACAAATTCGGATTTGCGAAATCCGGATGCCTTTAATTTTGGTTGGTGGAAGTAGGCATGTGCCTTAAATTGGAGGACCAAAAAATTAATAAAATAATCCTGAATTGACTAAATTCGGATTTAGAAAATCCGAATCCAACGTAACTCGGATTTCGAAAATCCGAGTTACTTACGGACTTGGATTTTTGAAATCCGAGTTTAACGTGCTATAAAAGAAAAAAAATTTCAGGCAGTTCTCATTCGAGAACTGCGTTGGATTTTCTGTTTTTGCAGCTCAAACAAGGGCGAATTGAAGTTTTTGATGCATTCTTGCCTCTAGATACGTGGAAATCGTTATTTGAAAGAGGTTAGATTGCAAAACCATGTTATTTAGTTTATTTTTGTGTTATTTTTTATTGTTAGAATGATGTATGATAGATTAGGGTTTATGTTGGTTGGTTGTTTGGATGTTTTAGGTGTTGATTTTGTGGTTTAGGGTTGAGAAATCATAGTTGTTCATGAGATATCGAAGTTGATTTATAAGTATTTTAGTATGGTGTATTTGTTGGAGTATGTATGGTGTATGATGTATGGTGTATTTTAGAGAATGTATGGTGTATTTTGTTGAGTTTGTTATTAAGAAATGATTAGTTATTGATGTTTTTTTTAACAGTTATCAATGGCACGTAATGTATCATACATGCTTAATTTGTATCATACAAGTAAGTATGTGATAGAGAACGGTAGCATCAACACTTTTTCGAATATGCCGGATGATGGTTTGTTTGTCGAAGAAAGGTTGTCATATGAGGGATTGATTAGTAAGATTTGTATGACCCTTGGTTGGGATCCAGCACACGTGAAACTCCACCTTTATTTGATTTTCGATAGTCCCGGTGGTAGGCGTGTAGCGAAGATCAAGAATGATTCGCATGTAGAGTTCATGAACCGTGTAGATCCAATGTCATGTTTAGATTTATACATAGATTTGGAAGATATCACTCAAGAAGAAAGAGAAGCGAGTTTGGAAAACGTGTCATTTGGTGATTTTCGAAGGGGGGAACGTGCTAGTACTTCTCGAAACCGTGATGAAGAGGAGACACCTTTATTTGCACAAAATGACTACGGGGAAGAGTCGGATTCCGACTACATAGCTCCAAGTGAAAGCGAAGAAGACTGTGATGTCTCCGGAGAGAGTGATTTTGAAGAAAGTGATGATGAAAGGTTGGAAAATGAGGAAAGGGATTGTAATCTATTCGCTTGACGCCATGTATATAGTAAGATGGGGAACTGGGATGCCTCATGTGTAGACAAGGATGAGTTTGCTCTTAAAATGTGGGATGAGACGCCCGAAGGAATGGACATTGGTGTTTGTTTCAAATCTCAATCAGAAGCAAAGCATGCTGTGAAATTATGGAACATCCATCATAAAAGGGAATATACGGTCGCCGCGAGTAGTCCAAGGACGTGGGCTATGCGGTGCAGAACATTTAATGTGGAAAGTGAGGATGGTGAACCACCATGTGAGTGGAAGATGCGTGTGTCATTGAAAGCTCACGGCCTTCATGAAATTGTGAGATGGCATGATGCACATAATTGCATGACTCCTGTGAATGATAATGACAATCGGTGTGTGGACGCGTCTTTGATTGCTAGACTCATCAGGAGAAAGGTTGAGGACAACGTAGATTATACGGTAGCCTCGGCACAGAAAGATGTGAAGACCTTATTGAAAGTAGATGTGCCATACAAAAGGGCGTGGCACGGGAGGAGGAAAGCCATAGAAGCGGTCTATGGTGATTGGACCTCAATTTGAAGAACTTCCACGGTAAATATCAACTTTTATCCGTGTATTGAAATATTTATAGTATTTTTATTTTTACATGTATTGAAATATTTTAACAATGACTTGTTGTTGTTTAGGTATATCGCTGCGCTTAAGTTTACTAATCCTGAGACTGTAGTAGAGTGGGAATGGAAGGAGGGACAAGAAGGTTGGAACAGGGGAAACCGGACATTTAAATACGTCTTCTGGTCATTTGCACCGGTGGCTGAGACGTTTTTTGAATGTCCACCGGTCATTTGTATCGATGGAACCTTTTTGCGTGGTGGATACAAGGGTAAATTGCTTGTTGCGGTGGTGTATACCGCAAACAAGCACATTTTACCGGTTGCATTTGCGATTGTTGATGAGGAGACAGTAGAGAGTTTTTTATAAGGAATTTGAGGTTGTGGGTTGTGTATGATAGAATCGTAAGTGTGATATCCGACCGGAATGCAGGGTTGTTGAGCGCAATGTCACAGATGGATGAATGGCGTGATTTAGGTGATGGTGGGCACTTTCTTTGCCTCCGCCACGTTCGCAGCAATCTTGTGTCTCGATATAATAGCAAAAAGGTGAAGCGGTTATGTTGGAAGATGGGCACGACGCTTTCAAGAGTGAAATACAACCGTATGAGGCAGAGCTTATTGAATTCAAACCTGCTGCATGGGAGTATCTTCGAGGATTGGGGGAGTAATCGGGCTCGATTGAAAGCCGGTCTTCGCCGTTAGGGCATAGCGACAACCAACATTTCGAGAGTTACAACAATGCGTTGAAAGGGATCCGTTTTTGCCAATTAGAGCCTTGATCGATGCAACCTTTCGCAAAACTGTTAAATTCTATAGAGAAGAACAATTGTGCGAGAAATTGCATGACACCGATCCCTCCCGAGTTATGGAAAAATACGAGAAAATGAATGATAAAGCAGCCAGTTTTGAAGCCACCCTTTCGATGGTGATGATGCTATGTGGCGTGTTGTTACTGCCACACGCCTAAGTGGCGGGGTGGGTCTCGCATACGGTGAACTACGATGAACATAGGTGTTCGTGCAGAAGTGGCAAGAGTACCGGATGCCTTGTACGCACGCACTCCAAGTTTGTCGGAGAAAAGGGGATCGGCCTATTGATCTATACCATAGTGTGTGGCGCCTTCCAACGTGGCGCAGACAATTTCTTTGTTCCGGTTCCCGATGAGGAACAATGGCCGATGGTCAATTGGAACATCATTCCGAATTATGAACGTCTTGTGTTGCATGCGGGACCGGGACGAAGACAAAAAAGGAGACATAGAATGCAAATGGATTACGAGGGACGCCGGAGCCGGGGAATGTTGGAGATGTGGACAACTAGGTCATGATGCCAATTCTTGTCCGTTCTCGCACCCAGGAGTAGATAGAAGACACGTGAATGACAATGGAATTGAGAGTCATTTACTGGTTCTTGCAAGTTATTTAGTGTTTGATAAATTTATGTGAACATTGATAAATTCGGATTGTAATGTGAACATTGAATTTTTCGGATTGTAAAGTGTGATGAAATATGTACTATTTTTCATAACAGTACATCGGATTGTGCAAAATACTCATCATTGTAAGGTAATGTGAAGGATTCGGATTTCCGAAATCCGAGCTCAGAGTTTTTTTTAGAAATTGCAAAGGACTCGGATGTTTAAAATCCGAATGGGTGAAACCCATCCGAGAGTTGCAATTTGAGGAGAAACAGGGGAGATTCGGATTTTATAAATCCGAGCTCAGAGATTTTCTCGAATTTACTAAGAACTCGGATTTAGGAAATCCGTGTTTGTGAAAAGCATCCGAGAGTTGAAATTTGAGGAGAAACAGGGTAAATTCGGATTTTATAAATCCGAGCTCAGAGATTTTCTCGAATTTACTAAGAACTCGGATTTAGGAAATCCGTGTTTGTGAAAAGCATCCGAGAGTTGAAATTTGAGGAGAAACAGGGTAAATTCGGATTTTGTAAATCCGAGCTCAGAGATTTTCTCGAATTTACTAAGAACTCGGATTTTGGAAATCCGTGTTTGTGAAAAGCATCCGAGAGTTGAAATTTGAGAAGAAACAGTACTAACTCGGATTTCGCTAATCCGAACTCAGAGTTTATTTTTAATTTGCAAAGGACTCGGATTTGAGAAATCCGTGTTTGTGAAACCATCCGAGAGTTGAATTTTGAGGGAAATAGGGAAGACTCGGATTTAGCAAATCCGAGTTTGACGGGACTATATATTGTTCTGTCAACTCTTCCTTTCCCATTTTTCCCCCAATTCCAGAATTGAAAAAACCCTAAAACTAAACTCCAATTAAACAAAAATCCGGCTACTCCCACCACTCAATCCGGCGACTCCCTCCACTCCCTCCGTGATTTCCGGCGACTCCCACCACTCTCCGGCGACTCCATTTTCGGTGTCTCTCCTCCCTCTGGACAATCCGGTGACTCCTTGCAATTCGGCGACTCCGTCCGAGACTCTCCACCTCCGTCGACTTCCTCCACTCCTCCCGACTTCCTCCATTCCTCATTGTAAGTTTGAAATTCGCGATCCTCTCTTTATTTTTTTTTTGTCAAAATTTTTTTTTTCTTTGTGAAATCCGAGTCCTTTTTTTTTTTTGAATTGTGGTTGGTTTGTGTTGATATAGTGTTTGTGTTGAATTTGAGTTGTGTCTATTGTGAATTGCTTATAGATGTGGTGTTGATATAGTGTTTGTGTTGGATTATCGTTGTGTAAATAGTGAAATGTATATAGTAGTTTGGTAGTGTTGTTTATTTGTTTGTTTATGGTTTGGTTGATTTGTTTTTTTGGCCGAGTGTACATCGTTTGGTTGATTTGTTATTTGGCCGAATGTATATAGTTTGGTAATCTTGTTTATTTGGCCGAATAATTTGAAGTTTGGTTGATTTGTTTTTTTTGGCCGAGTGTACATCGTTTGGTAGTTTTGTTATTTGGCCGAATGTATATGGTTTGGTAGTCTTGTTTATTTGGCCGAATGTTTATGGTTTGGTTGATTTGTTTTTTTTTTGTTACCTTGTGTAGGATTGAAATGGCGACGCCGGCATCGGGCTCCCAATATGACTATCAACCTAAACATCTTCACCCGGGACCTATACAAGATAAAATGCTATATCGTCAAACAAAGCATAGGTCCCAAGCTGTCTATGAGAATAGGATACCGGACATTAAGACATTCCGCCTCAAGGGCCGTAGGTACGAGAGCGATTTTTGGGCGTTATATAAAAATACGGCACCGGAGGTTAAGGAAGTCATTAGGAGAGCCGGTTTTGAGGGGATCATGAAGGTAGGGTACAAAAGAGTTGATCTAGGCCTCATTACCGCGTTGGTGGAACGGTGGAGGCCAGAAACCCACACTTTCCATTTTAATTTCGGAGAGGCGACGGTGACGCTACAGGACGTCGAGGTTCTGCTTGGTATTCGGGTGGATGGTGACCCGGTGTACGGCACGACAGTTAGCCGGACTGCAGATGAATGGAGGGATCGATGTGAGGCTTATTTGGGATTCCGCCGGCGATTGTAAATGGCCAATGTGTCAATGTTGGTATTTTCGAAGATGAGATGGGCCGTGCACTACCTTCAAATTCCACTGTCCATCGATTCGAGCAAAGGGCCGGACACTTATACTGCATTTTATTAGCAGTTTCATGTTTCGAACAAGACGCAGTAACACATCAATCTACGTTCTTGGCCCAGTTGAGGATTTGGATCGGTGTAGTCGATACGATTGGGGATCGGCACTCTGGGCCGGGTTGTACTCTGGCCTATGCGAGGCATCACAGTATACCATGCACGACGCCACGGGGTGTCTATATTTGCTACAGGTACGTATTAGTTTTCATATTGTGCTTTAATTATTTTGCGCTTTCGACGTTATAATTTGAAGTTTCTACATTATTATTGCAATTTACTAGGTATGGGCGTATGAGCGGATCGAGAGGATCGCGCCCCAAAGAAAAGGAGTAGATTATTTGCTTGATGAGACCGCTCCATTAGCTCAGCGGTACGTATTTTCAGTTCAAAATAACTCAACGTTTAATTCTATTTGTTTCTTATTCATTTATTTCACTAATTCAAATGTACCCCTTTGTTTATTAAGGTGGGAATGTAGGTACACGTACGGCGACGCCCCAAGGAGCAGCACTCCACCGTTTAGAGATCAATTAACAAGTCTGCGTGTTGAAGATGTAAGTACTTGTAATTTGGTATTTATATTTACTTTGAGATTAATTACCCCTTTCTTTTGGTTTCGGTTGTACCATCTAATGAAATTTTTTTCGTGCAGTTTCGGTGGCAACCATATGCACATGTCCTCCATAGACTCCCTGATTTCTGTACACAAGGCCAAGCCATTTGGACGACTAGGTGTTGGATGTTCTGTTGGGCTATTAGGGAACCCCACGAGTCGGGCAGAGTCGTAAGACAATTTGGATACATACAGGATGTTCCCAAGCGCCCCATGATTAAAGATAACGCAGTATTCCTTTTCGATCACGCCCACAGTATGTCTGGGTATCTTAGCAATAATTGGGAGGATCACCATTCCGCAGTACGCCGTCATTGGAATAGGAGAGAAGAGTTCGTGCTACGAGATTTGGAGGAAGGAGATCCTGGTTCCGTATATGAGGGGTACTATGAATGGTTTATGGTGAACCCTGTCAGATTGATATCCAATCCCGGTAATTATGAACCTCAAGGATACGAGACTTCTTCGAGCCGCGTGAAATTATATGTGAGTTAATTGTAGATTTCTTTTATTATTTCTTATGTTTCCATTTTTTTTTCATTTTTTTTTAGAACTTTACTCTCTTAATTAACGTCCCAATTTCTTTTCAGGGTGAAGTATTGAACAACATTCGCGTGAGTACCGAGAGGTTTAGAGAAAAACGAGAAGATGATAATCTCCTAGACGAAGAACTTGACAAGCATTTGGACGATATCATCAATCAAACACATGCTGCTTTAACCTTGGGCGCAAATGATGAGATGGAGGTGGATGATACGCAAATCCTGGTTGATGAAGATCCATTTTTTCCCTCACAACCTCCGCCGGGTAAAAAAGCGAAACCATGGTCAAGAGATAAGATTGGAGGAGGAAGAAAGAGAAAGGTCACAATCCCCCCTCGGACATCGCAACAACAAACTGAGGGTCAACAAAATGAGGATCAAGCACATTCCTCTCGAGGCTCGCGCATTCAGGTCGAGACTCATTTTGAAGAAGCTGGTGGACCCGAGACTCAGTTTGACATTGGTGGACCCGAGACTCAGTTTGACATTGGTGGACCTGAGACTCAGTTTGGTAGACAGTCGCAACCACAACCGGGAGTCAAATTTATCACCATGGGGGAGTCCCAATCTCAACCCCAAATCGAGGCTCAGTTTGGTGGACAGTCGCAACCACACCAAAGTTCAATACTCACATATCTTAAGAGGGGAGACAGGATCCGACAGGGCCCAAACAAATACACTCCGGATGCGCACAATAAAGGAAAAGGGAAAAAATGAGACATTTCATTATTTTGGACATTTATAGTAGTTTTTGTATTGAACTTTTTATGAAACTTGATTTATTTTGTTGTTAATCGAATGCCGTTTATTGTTTTGTTGTTATTAAATTCCTATTTTCCAATGTTTCATTGTTGTTGGTGCTGTAAACATGTTTAGGACTGGTGAAAATCAGTCCAATTTTTTTTTTCAGTTCTGACAAAGACTCGGATTTGCGAAATCCGAACCCAGAATTTTTCTAAAGGATTCGGATTTCGGAAATCCGAGTTCGTGGCCAACTGGGAGTTACCATTTTTCAGAAAACAGAGCAGATTCGGATTTTGGTAATCCGAGTTCTGCCCAAATTTAATTTTTCAACACATTATTTTTTCTCTATCCGGAAATTAATATTTTATTCATAAAATCGGATTTATAAAATCCGGATTTAGATTAATTACACAAATTTTTGTCATTAACTTAATTTCGAATTTACGTAATACAAAGTCAGATTTTAATAATCCGAGTTGAGTTGGGGTCGGATTTCCGAAATCCGAATTTGCCCCCCATTCGGATTTCCTAAATTCGGGGCATATAAATTTGTCCACAAGGTTTTAAAAAGCTTTATTTTTGTCTAGATTTTTTTTTTTACATATATTTAACGAAAAAATTCAAGTTCTCTCCACAAATATTTTTATTATCACTGTTGTGTTCATAGTTAAACTGATTTGGTACCATTACCATTACCAACCACTGCCTTTGATTTGTTATTTGGATCCAATGTAGACGGGTTAATTTTCTTTTAATTTATTAATTATTACAAACTAAGCATGCTACTAAACTTTGATATCATCTTTTGTAATTTATTATTTTTGTGAGGCTAAACGTATATAAGATTGGTATTGTAGGACAAAAAGAAATTGTAACGATTCACATAACTTGCATTAACAGTTTAACAAATTTTTGTTCATTTATCTTGTTTATATATACTCCCCCGGCCCTTATTGGGTAAATATTATAGGGCATAATGATTATTAGGTTGTGTAATTTTGATGTAAAACTTATAAATTTATAATTTTACATGAAAAAATTAATATTAAATGATATAGTAATGTGGTAACGATATGTGAACTTAGATATCTTTTTTTTTACATGTGAATTAGCCTATATAATTTTACGTTACATATCCGATTGAAAACTCTCAACAAATATATATATATATATATATATATATATATTGGATTCACTGAGTAAAAAATGGTTGAAATTGTTTACAAGTAGCTCTTTTTTATTTATGTTTGTTTTTTTGAAATCAAATTAGTAAAAAGTTGTACTCTGTTTGAAAGTTCAAACATTACAATTATTTTAAGACCAAGAGAGTAGTAGGTAAATCTTGTTTAGTTGCCTAAATTAAAGTTTCAATTGTATTTATAAAAAAAGTGTTTTGATACTTAGTATTGAAGTGTTCGTTTGAGATTTTTTCTAGCTCCGCCACTACCTGTGATAAGGCGCTGCCGATTGTAAAAGAGAATTGAAGAGGATATTTAATTTTTCAATAAAAATTAATGCGTACATCTTTTATGTTTAAAATGATTGTCTAATTTGAATTTTTTGTTTTAGTAAAATTTTTATATTAAAATAGTAAAAATTTTAATTGGACAATCATTGGGACGGAGAAGAGAATATTTTATACTCTTTGGTTTAAAGACCAGAGAATTTAAAAGCCTCACTTTCAAGTTTAATGTGATAGAGAAAGAAGAGATCAATTCAGGTGGTCAAGTGATTTATGATCATTGCCCACAAGTTCAACGTACTTACAATTATCATAACATAAATACATAACAAAATCAAAACAATATGTTCAAAATAAAAGTGTCGGCAAGAATTGTGATACAAGGATCTAGAATAAAGGTGAATCATGCATTCATGCGTAGTGTTTTCATTTTGTTAAATGTAGAAAAAGCAGGACATGATTGCAAATCGATCGGCCATATTGAATCAGTTGTGGGGCTTTACTGCCCTTATTGGAAGAAAGGGATTTCTTTCGTCAGCCACACTACTAGTTAGACGAAATTAGAGTACTTAATTTGATTCAGACGTTATCATTACTTAAAAACTGCCAAATTAGATAACGGTGTGATGCAAAGTTATTTCAAGCGAATTTGACCATAATTATAAGAGACGAACAATACTGACAAATGTTAAAGGAAATTTTAACTATTTGAGAATAAGAAAATAGATTAAAGTGGAGTGAGCTTATTTGTTACATTTGTCTTTTGTTTTTCATTAATAAATTAAACAACTTCGTTTCTATCTTTTATTTTTCTTTAACAATGCTGACAAACGTTCATTGTTTTTGTATATATGCTTGTATCGAGAAGTCAGAACTTTGATTGATCCTTATAATTTATTATTTTTTCCGTCCAAAATAATTGTTTAATTTAGATATTCGTTTTTATTACAAATTATGATAAGAGTGAAAATTTAAATATATCACCCGTTTTAAGAGAAGTATATGAAAAAGAAAAAAAAAAACATATAGTGCTTGAACGAATACCAATTTGCATCTTAAAATGGCCGATGAACGTACGCCAAGAACTACTCAAGTTGATTGAACTTGCAATGATTATTCATTATTTGACCTAATAAGGGGAGGACGAAAGTTAAGTAGATGAAGCCGCAGGGGCCTTCTTTTTGGGGAAAGCTATATTTGTCTCTGAACCCGAAAAAACTTAAAAAAGATACATCATTTCAACCAAAGCGAGAGAGGGAGAGAGAGAGAGAGAAAAACAATTGCGCATATCATATTCAGTACCATGCGCTGATTATGGGGAGGGATTAGTAAATTAGAAAATATATTCTACACGTGAACCTCCTGCTCAAAACCCTGCTTAACGAGTCTATTCAATCGGACATCTAAACGGCACAAATGAGAACTGAACCTAAGAACTCAAGATCACTAGGTAAATTGCAAAGACTTTGCGTTTAATCTTCTTTGTGAGTAAGATCCTAATTTTTACTCTCCAAAAATAGTCCACATTAATTTTCGAGATTTGACAAAAAAAATTACATTGATTTTTTAAATTTTGTTGAATCTTAAGATTCAATGTTGACTATGTTTTTGTACAGAACTAGTAATATAGAGTTAAACCTCTATAAGTTCTTACAGTTGAGCCTCAAAATTTTATTAATTTGTGAATGTATTAATTTATGAACAATAATTTGATAATTTATTCATAAATAACTATTAATTTATTTATAAATAAATAATTTATAAAATTAAATAATTTTTAAAATCTTATTATAAACACCAAATTTTTATTTTCTTACAGGAAGATAAGTCTCTTGCAACTTTTATTTATATTATAATAGTTTTTAATGCAACAAAAACATAATAATTGCAAACATCAAAAAACAATAAAGTTAAAATCTAAGATAATAATTTTTCCTTTTAGTATTTTGTCAATTTATAAAATTGGGGGTGTCTAAATTTACATAGGGAATTATTGAAAAGTTATTGTCATATTAATTAATCGAGTTTCGTTATTTTATTTGTACTGACTCCTAGTTGTAATTTTATAAAATTATTATTTAATAGAGATTATTAATTTATACATGATTAATGTACGTAGGCTCTACTTAAATAAGAAAAGACAAGATACCTATTTCTAAATGCAATGTGTCACCCTAAGTGCTCTGATCAAAGGCACAGAGATGTGCAATTAATGCTGGCTGTACATAGTAGATGGTTAACGTATCAGCAATACAAGGTGAAATTAAGATCATATTGCTTATATATACCAGCTGAATATCCACCGACAATTCCCAAATACATATCTCTTTGATTAGGTATATAGGAAAATTGATTACGAAGCTAAAATCTACTAATTAAATCATGTCACAGGTTAATCATCTATTTTATTAATTTGTAGGTTCGTTCAACCAAGTCAACAAAACAGAATGAGACGGAGGAAAGATTGTTTCTACGTTTAACTTTTCCAATCTTGCGAACTGATTAATTACACTTTTCATTTCTTTTCAGTTTTACGAACTATAATAAGCAGGATGTTTATAAATTTCATAATTCAACGTATATATGTAAGATAATAGTTCATGTATCTCTAATTAATAAAAAACTACATATACCCTTTTTTTTAAAAAACTTTTCCATCCATGGACGCATGACGTTGAAAGCCTCCTGATGAAGGATGACCCACTTGTACGTTTTTTAAGTGACATCACTGTATATATAAACCAATATTATTAAGCGCATACATCCAAAATTACAACTTCTAAAGAAAATACATGTTATAAGTGGTAGATGTAAAAAAAGAAATAGAAAGATGCACAATATCACAAGTAAAAATGGAAGGGTTAGCGCATTTTAGCAACTACTTATCTAATTTTTTATTTTATTTTTTTGCTTTTTTTTTTCTATTTTAACTAATGATCAGTACCTACTCATTTCTAAATCTGTGCATCTGTTTATGAGTACATAAACATCCGGTCTAAAATGATCGTCTGGTTTGAATCTTTATTTTCATTGCAAATTTGACTAAAAGTGAATATTCAAACTGGACAATCAAGACCTTTATTTTAAGTTGATGCTCAGTTTTTGAATGTCTTATATATAGAAGACTATGTGTAATAGTATGAAAAAGTTAAAATTCAGATTGTATACTTATCTAGAAATAGAAGAAGTAATTTTAACTAGATAATTTTATTTTATTTTCCTCAAAAGGATCAGCAATAGTTCCCACTTACCCTATACTTAACTGGCTAATAACTAGCTAACTAGTTGAGCGAGAGGAAGAATGCAAACTTGAAGTTTCGATCATTTAAAACTACAGAAAATCGTCTGGTGGCCGTATTTGGGTATTAAGCAAAGGAACAGTTTTTAGGTGATTTCGGAGGAAAATAAATTACGCGCGGGTGAACTTGGCTTATACAATACAAAAATCTTAGATGTTGACTTTTTTTTTTTTGGAGGATAATCGTGTCTCGAGTTACCAAAGTCCTATTCTAATGACACAGGGGATTGCGCGATATAATAAGACATAAAATTGATTGCGGTTCATTGTTGTTGTGCCATTTTGTATTGCATTACGCTCGCATACGACATTAGTTAAAATGATTAGTACGTGATTAATTATTTAATTAAATAGATTCACTTACTATTTTGTTGAAGTGTGAGAAAAATATTAGAGTAAGTAAAAAACTTAGAGTGCGAAGTTAAATCAGGAATTGGAAATTATGGCATTCTAACCAAAGAAAATTTTGAAGTTCAATACAGAATACTTGTGATTAAAGTTACGTTATATCACTTGACCTATTTTACTCCGAGTAACAAAGATGTTTCTTGAATGTGAGGCAATGAGAACTATACGGAGGAAAACCTGATAAACGTGTTGTGGTCATCAAATTAATAGGTCATGAAAGCAATTCCCACCTCCATTTTAAGACAGAGAAAACAGATAATTGCTCTCTCTCTCTTTTCTTTTTTTGGTATATATGGAGGAACCATAGTTCTTTCTTCTATTTTAACAAAGGAGACAAATGTACCTTTCCAAAAAAAAAAAAAAACAAAGGAGACAAAATTAAAAAAAATAAGCTCCCCGTTGTCCCTCTTCGAGGTCCCCCCCTGCCTAACCCACAATGCATGTGAGCGATACCCATTGTTATATTATGAATTGAATTCCCATTAAAAATTGGTTTTAGGTGACTTTCCTAAATATATTTTGTTTTTGGAGTTTGCTTTTTCCTATTCTATTCTAATACTAAGTAGTAATTAAGTTTAGTTTGTAAATTGTAAGCAGTTTTTAAATCAGCCTATTGTTGTATCTATAAATACAAAGAGTTGATAGGAGAAACATCCAGCAAACAAATTTCGTAGAAACCTTACCCTAATTCTTCCATTAATCAGAACCTATTTCCAGCTAATTAAATATGGCTCTCATGCAATCCCTTTTGTCTTTTTCTTCTTCTTCTTCCTCATCAGGATTGAAAATGTCTACCCTCAAGTCAGTTACGGATCTCATCCCCACTCATAATCTTCCCAACTGGCTAACCCATGATGATCTTTCACCCGGTCCAAAAATCCATGGTACTAAGCTCCGGGTAGCTCACTTAGGCGTTCCGGGTTCTTACAGCGAAGCCGCCGCCGGTAAAGCTTATCCCAACAGCGTACCTCTACCTTGCAAACAATTTGAAGCTGCATTTGAAGCGGTCGAGCTCCGCATCGCCGATCGAGCCGTCGTACCGGTTGAGAACTCTCTCGGCGGCTCGATCCACGAAAACTACGACCTCCTGCTCCGGCACCGCCTCCACATTGTCGGGGAAGTCCTACTCCGAGTTCGCCACTCTTTACTAGCCCTTCCCGGCGTCCGAAAAGAGCACCTCCGCCGCGTACTCAGCCATCCCCAAGCACTCTCTCAGTGTGAACACACGCTCACCTCCCAAATGGGACCCAACGTGAGGAGGGAGGCGTTTGACAGCACGGCCGGAGCGGCCGAATTCGTGGCCGCGAACAACCTCCGGGACACCGCCGCGATTGCATCGGCGCACGCTGCCGAGCTGTACGGACTACAAGTCTTGGAAGATGGAATGGAAGACGATTCCGGTAACTTGACGAGGTTCTTGATTCTGGCGAGGGAGCCGTTTATCCCTCGAACCGGCCGGCGGTTCAAGACGAGTATCGTGTTCGCCGGCAACGACAGAGAAGGACCGGGCGTTCTTTTCAAGGTTTTATCGGCGTTCGGGCTCCGGAACATCGGGTTGACGAAAATCGAGTCGCGGCCGCATCGTAGTCGGCCGATTCGGGTGCTGGACGTAGCCGAGGACGACATCCTCCGTACTGCCAAGTATTTCGAGTACATATTCTATGTGGATTTTGAGGCTTCAATGGCGGAAGTTAGGGCACAAAATGCCTTGGCAGAAGTTCAGGAGTTCACGTCTTTCTTGAGGGTTTTAGGAAGTTATCCGATGGATATATGACCCCAAGGTTCCCCTTCTATTCCCATTTCCAATTGGTTAATATATTTATTTCCTTTCCGAAAAATGGGAAATTGGAAGGTTTAGTTTGAATTTTTCACTTGTATATTTTGTGCTAAAAATAAAAAATTTAAACCGAACATTTACTTGGAGAAAGATGTATATTTTTATATTATGAATAAAGTTTGGGAGTTTTCAGTGAATTTGGAACTCAAATACAAGAATTCTATGGGGAAGGAGAATACTTGCGGGAAATGCATGGAATATATGGAGGGAATATATTTCTTGACTACATTAACACAATAAGACGTTAAAATGGACGAAATATGAACTGATATTACCTTCTAATTTTTTCTTCTCCCCCTCGGTTCTAATAGGAGGCCTATAATTCTCAATTTTGGTGAGAGCAATAGATGTTTTTCTCTCACATCATAAGCCAAACCGGTATTGATAGCCCACCTATAATGAAAAGGCAATGTATTGTGATGTAAGGAGGGATCCAGTATCCAATATTATGTAGTAATAACAGCGAAGAAAAATATTCTCCAGTGCTTTTAGACGTACGTGCTGAGCTCCACATTTTCACTGAGCTGCAAAATATTGTTTTTTCTCATGTATACTAGTGCTCTCGTCAACGGTTTGAAATCTCAATCTGTTTTAGTTATATTCTTCCATCTCTGCCATTTCGTTACACTTAATTAAATACTTTATTAATTGAGCTACCAAAGATTTATATTACCGGTCTGTTTTTCAAAGAAAAAAGAAAGATTGTGCTATAAAAGATTTACAATGGAAAGATTCTTCCATTCAACATTATTCACCCCCCCCCCCGCAAGAGAGTAGAATACAAAAGAGTCAAGTTATTATATTCAAACAAATTAGCATCCCGTTCCTTATTATAAGTCATTTATTTTAAGTTTCACCTGATATGTATTTTTTATTGAGAAAAAAAATCTTAAAACCACATTTTCACATTGATTGAGTTCTCCTTATTATTAGGAAATATTTTTAAGATTTTTCTTTCAATTGGAAAAACATACTAGGTGAAACATAGGCAAATCAAAATGCCTTATAATAAGGACCGGAGGGAGTAGTAAACTAGAGTATTTACAATGAAAAAAAAGGTAATAAATAAAGTAAACAGAAATCTGTATTAGCCAGAATTTTATTTAATGAATATTAGGCTACTTCTTTTTAATTAAGATCCTATGTATATAATTTTTTAAGAAATTAAAAGTTCTATAGAAAGGGAGATACAAAAAAAAGACCATTACTTAGTTTAAGAGTATTTTCTTTTCTCTCTCTCTCTAGCGCAACTGACCTCCCGTTGCGTTTTCCTTTTTCCGGCCACCATGGGCGGTGAACAACCTCGGGATGCACCCACTGGGCTTCCCCGCAGCTTTGCAAACTTTTTCCGTAAACCCCCTGACAATATTTCTGCGCAGCCCTCACTTATCAAGCCGGTATCATTCATCAATGGCTCACCGGTTTTAGAAATGAGGATGATGAATATGAGAGGCTAATAGCTCCCCATCAGATGAGTTTGGTTCGCAAATTTGCATACGGACGTCCAAAAATGGAGGATATTCATAAAGAGTTCAAGAAAATTGGATTCAATGGAGCCTATACTTTAGAGTTGATGAACCCTAGGCACATTTTAATTCGATTTGAGCGCGAACATGGCTATCAACATTGTAGGATGCGTACTTTTTGGAATGTAGCTGGATTCTCAATGAGAATACTCAAATGGAAGCCGGGATTCAAGTTTGAAGAGGATCCGCCAATTTGGGTTTTACTCTTGGATCTCCCGATTGAGTTTCTCTACGGCGACAACCATTGTTAAGCCTTTGAAGGTTGATACACTAACCTTAAACATGACTCGGCCATCTGCGGCTCGGTTTTGTGTTGAGATTGATCTCACAAAAGACCTTCCCAAATCGGTGAAAGTGGGAAAGTGGGGAGGAAGCGTGAGCAGGTTTTTAAATATGAGCATGTATCTTTCTATTGCTCACCTTGTTTGAAGATCAGACACCCGAAGGAGGACTGTAAAAAGGGTACGATGAAGAAGAAAGTTGTCGCGAAAGCTGACCCAAAATCCTCGCAAGTCCAGTTGGTCGCAAAGGACAAGTCATAGCCTACGAGGAAGACCCCAAACCCTAGGTCACAGCCTTGGGTTTCGTCGCAACATGCGACTAATGATTCTGAAAAGCCCTCTACGTCGGGGTTGAATGAGAAGGAGAAGCATCATATTGTTGTTGATATTCGGAATTCCCCACCGAAGAGCAGCGAGGGAGCTGTTTCTGATGCAACACTAAGCACGATTACTCCGCCATCCATAATGCCGCAAGAGAAGAAAACCCAGTCGCATGCCCCTGCGGCTTTGGCTAATCACTTTTCCCTACTTGAAACTATAAAGGAGATTGACGAAGATTCTCAAGATGATGGTCAAGCTGATGAATTGAATGTTACTGTCTCTAAAAGCCCTAGCCATATTGAGGGACTTGCAATGGATGACGATCGACGGGCCTTTTTGTGACTTGGAAGTGACAATCCTTTATGTTTGGAAATATTTTCGATGACGGAGAAGTTGGAAAATTTTTGACTTGCATGAAGTTGTAGATAGAGGCCATGGCTGTTGGTTTGAAAGTGAGGCGGATGATGTGAATATTCAAGCTGAAAATGGTTTGAAGGGAGATGTGAAAATTTCTCGGAAACGAGGTCGAAAAACAAGGTGGAGATGCTGTTGTTGCAAGAAGGTTTTCCTCCTTGCCGTTCTCCACGACTTCAGTAAATAAAGGGTCCTTTATCATCTAAATATATCCATGATAAGTCAGTTAATAGGGAATATTAGAGGGATTCAAAATCAAGCGTCACAACGACACTTGAAAGCTTTGATTCACATGCACAAAGTTTCACTTCTTATTATTCTTGATCCAATGATTGAGAGTAGTGAGTTGGTTGATCTCAAAAGGGAGCTTGGATTTGAGAAGGCTTTGAACTCAGAAAATAGTAAAATTTGGGTTTTATGTAAGAATGATATTTCCTTAAAGTTGCTGACGGATAAGGATCAAATTATGCACTTTGACGTTTTCCATGCTTTGCTTCCATCGAAGTTTTATATGTCTGCTGTATATGCCAAGTCTACTCGGCTGGAACGGCGACTATTATGGCAATATATGGTTGAATTTACACAGCACTATGTAGATGTTCCTTGGATGGTTGGCGGGGACTTTCATGTCATTTGGGATTCGGAATATTCAGGGATTTTTGTCCAATATCCGGTTACTATGAATGTCTTTAATGAATGTATTCAAGAATGTGATCGTTTGTAAATTCCTTCGGTTGGGGAGGAATTCACATGGGGAGGTACATAACAAACCAGTTGGATGAGCAAGAAGTTGGATAAAATCTTACTTACACAGGAATGGAATACTCTATTCCCTAGTTCTTCAGTTGAAAATTTAAATCAAACTACAGTTGAAAATTTAAATCGAACTACCTCGGATCATTGTCCTTTGCTGCTTTTGTCAAAGCTAGATGTGTCTAATAAACCAAGGGTTTTCCGTTTCCAAAGATGCTGTTGAGAAGGGTTGAGTTCAAAGATGTTGTGAGAGGGAATTGGGAACAACCTATGGAGAATCCGGCATGCTAGGGTTTTCTTTAAAACTCAAGCGTTTGAAAGTGAAGTAGCAGGAGTGGAATAAAGAGGTTTTGGGGGATGTCTTTGAGAACTTGCGCGCTAGTGAGAGTAAGGTTCAAGAACTTGAATATCTCTTTGATGTATCGGGTAATGATGATGATAGATGGAGACTACGGGCTGGTGAAGCTGAACTCTTACAAAGATTAAAGGATGATGATGATTTCTGGACTCAAAAGATGAAGATTGAATGGATGAAAGAGGGGGACTCTAATACGGCTTTCTTTCATGCTTCCTTGAAGGAACAAAGACTAAGGCAAGGTCTCTTTAAAATTCAAGCTGAAGATGGGAGAATGTTGACCTCTATGGAAGACATTGAACAAGAGGCGATTGGCTTTTTAAAAAATCTTCTAAATGATAATGTCGATGATCCACAATGTGAAGCAAAGCAAGCTGCATTTCTTGACCATATTCCTTGATTACTTGACGAAGAGGATACAACTTCATTGTTGCAGCCTATTCAATGCAAAGACATTAAGGGGGCTGTTTTTGGCTTAACTGATGATAGTGCGCCGGGGGTTGATAGCTTTGGAGGGAGTTTCTACCAGATTTTTTGGGATATAATTGCTAATGATCTATGGAAGGCTTGTGAAGAGTTTATAGTTGGGGTCCCTATACCGAGAGCTATTACAAGTACTCAAATTACCCTTATTCCTAAGGACGCAATCATCACCTTTGCTTATAGACCTATTAGTCATTACAATTTTTTGAATAAGTTTTTTACAAAAATTCTTACAGAGAGGCTAAAGGGAGTCTTGCCAAAGATCATTTCAGAAGAACAATCCGCTTTCTTGGAAGGTGGAGACATCATGGATAATGTGCTGCTCACTCAAGACCTTTATCAATTCTTGGCTCGGAAATCTGAGGGGGGGTAATTTTATTTTGAAGCAACATAATGAAAGCCTTTGACAGGGTAAAGTGGAGCTTCTTAGAAAAGCTATTGATAAAGTTTGGATTTCCACTAAACTTTTTATTGTTGATAATGAATAATCTACGTTGTAGCTGGTTTTTGATTATGATCAATGGTGGACTGGTTGATTTCTTTCAATGCTCCAGAGGCATTAAACAAGTTGATCCTTTGTCTCCTTATCTTTTCCTGATAGTTTCAGAGGCAAAGACTAGGAAGCTTAATGATTTGGTGGTAACTTGAAAACTAGCAAAATATGGCACCCAGGTTGGTTCCTTGTCGGTTTTGGCTTTTGTGGATGATGTGATTATCTTCTCTAGAGCTTTGAAAAGGTCGTTACGAGCTTTGAATGAATTTTTCTCAGATTATGAATCTGCTTATGGGCAGAAACTAAACAGAGATAAAAGCTCTTTTATGGTGTCGGAGGATTGTCATCCTAGAAGAGTGGCTATACTACAAGGAGTACTAGGTATTCAAAGAGGTTCCCTACCATTTGGCTACCTCGGTTGCAGGATATATCAAGGTCGATGGAAAGCTTCAACCTTCCAATTTTTTCTTGATAGCATTGATAGAAGGCTGTTGAGTTGGAAGAATAAATTGTTTAGTCAAGGAGGCTGGTTAGTATTGATTAAGCATGTGTTGTTATCAATACCAACTCATGTGTTCTCGGCAATTCCACCACCAAAATCAGTTATCCTTCAGATTGAGCGAAAGTGTCAAAGGTTCCTTTGGAGTGGTTCAAGTGAAGAGAATAAAAGACATTGGGAGTCGTGGAGTAGAATTTCATTCCTGGTTTCAGGGAATGGCTTGGGTATGCGAAGCTTCCAAGGAGTCATTGATGCCTTGACAATTAAACTTTGGTGGAAGTTGAAGCAAAAAAAGGGTATATGGAGCATGTTTATTCACTCTTTGTAAAAAAAAGCTAGAGAAAAAACATCTTGGAAGCGGATTTCTAAGATGAAAGGGCGCGCGGCTGAGCATACTAAGATCATCATTCGCCGAGGTGATAAGTCTTTTTAGTGTGATAATTGGTC